AAGCGAAATAACACATTAAAAAGGGGGAATTTCATTAATTCGATATTTTTCGGGCAAAGTCCCTTTGCCCCAGGAAGAAGGAAAGCCCTTGATGATGGCGTTGAGGAAAATTGATGGTAGCTAACATAGTAGCATCAGCCGCGATGAAGTCTCTGAATACTTTTTTTCCTTAATAATCACCTTTGTGATACTAAACGATGTTCTTCCGGACACAGCGAGGTTGGCTTACAGAAAAAATCGCTCCCAATTCGGAACTAATTCTGAGGGTGTGAAGCTTTCAAAGCAAAAGGAGAATCCGAAGTGTTATTTACGCACAGCAAATTTCTCGCAGGAAGAAGGAGCGCCCGGCGTAGCCGGGCGGCCCGACTGGTTTTTTATAACCCAGAATCTTTGTGATTGGAAATCATACATTACAAAAAGTCCACTTGAAAGTGTCAGACTTAGTTAGATGGTTAGAATTGCTTCACATCCGCGGAGAGATAAATTGTTTCACCTCACCTTGCCAAGGAAAAATAGCAGAAGTGTAGTGGCATCAGATTCATAATAATCATGCGATGCGTATTTCTTTGAAAATTCCGTTCCCCATGAAAAGTTTTAATTCAGAATGTAACCTACTTCCAGTCGGTTCTGTGAGAGCCGTGTCCTTAGAGGAAGAATCTCGTAGAGGTGAAAAAAAATCGTATGCTTGGAATACATACCGTTCCGGAATTTTTTTCTCAAATTCAGTTCATATCTACCGATGCAGCTTCTTCAAAAACGGTTCAATTCTGCCGAGAGCCTCAGTTCCTCACCTCACCACACCATACAGTTTAGCCAGAGCCAGGGATGCATTAGGTCTGTAAGAATGGATCCCTCAGACGGTGATCGTTAGGGATACTCATGTAATGCGTACCTCTTGGGAAATTTCAAAGCCACATCCTTCCACATTCGTTTCACTCATACTTACTAAATTCCGCAGCACTCGCCCAACTCCATTAACCTACTCACCGCCAAGTTACTGCTTCACATATAAGAAGGAAATGTGAGAGCTGCTTTTTCCGTATCACTGCTCCTTCGTAATAATAAAGTTTTGCGGACGGACGGATCGCCAAACCGACACACCGACAAACCTTCAAACCGACAAACCGACACACCAAGTTAATGCTTTATAAAAGAGAGAGATTATTATTCACGAAAGAAGCCACTTACTCGTACACCATAACTCAAAGTAGAACGTTGAGGCTGAGCGCGGAGCGTTGAGCGTCAATTGTTGAGCGCTCGTGCTGTGTTGACAACAACGATCGTCGATCGATGACACCCACGTCGACGGTGATTGTTTTCTTGGTCGACTATTATCGGATATGCAATTCACTTCCTTCACTTCTTTGTTTATAAGTTTGATATTTTCTTCGTAGACTACTATGATATTATGGGGCGGAAGTATACCTTCATGGAATAATTCTACGCGGCTCTGCTTGGATACTAACATACTTCGATGCAAGCACAGCGGTAGCGCCGAGGCCAAAGCGGCCTTCGAGCACTCGACGCTCAACGCTGTACTCTGAAAGCGTCCAATGCTCATGATGTATCCGTACACTATGATACTGCAAATGCTTGCCCCGAAACAAGGCTCAACTTGTTTATACTTGATGTTTTGTTAAGTCCCGTTATTTCGCTGCAATACGAAAGTCACATCAAGTTTAACCCATTGGCGACCGCACCTTTTACGTTGTCCTTACGTTAACTTCTAATTTCTCTTAAAACTGTAATTGGAAGTGAATGAATCCCCATGCTTCAAGATTCTCTAGAAGGTTGTGAGCTAAGCTGATCCTTGAAAACATGAAAAAATTATAAGAACACTTAATAAATAATATAAATACTACAGGGGCACGATATGGTGTGACCCGCCAGCGGGAGGTGCGCTTCTTTGCGCGCGTTCGTCGAAACTGGGTNACGCCGCAGCCGTCGCATGCGGCGGGTCAGCCCGCGCTGGGGGACGGAACTTACGTGCGTCCGAGGATGCGCGCGTCAAACTGCGCGGCGAAGTGCGGCTCTGGCGCCTATCCTATGGGGCCCAAATTTAAATTAGAGAAGATTAGTAGTATCAGCTGACCCACTAACTACTCTACTTCGGGTTTGGGCCAAAATGATAGGCGCTAAGGTCGTTCGAATCAAAACGCACTTCGCCGCGTAATTTGGCCGCGCGCATCCTCGGACGCACGTAAGTACCCATACCCGCCCGCGCTACTTGACAGACGTCGCAGTTGTCAGTGAGGCATACGATTTAGCTTGGTCGACGGCAGTCAGCCAAAGAGAAGATAACACGGACAAATGCAAATCGTTTGCTCCACCGACACTTGGTGGTGTTGTAATGTCATCTTGAAACCTCAGTGGGGTGCGCCGTGTGCGAAGTGGGCGGGGTGACCCACTCTCGACGGACGTGCACAACGGACGTTCTCCGCCTGCGGTCCAGCGGTCGTCAATAGGTTAAACAAGTCATAACAAGACAGTTACAGCGTCACTTTTCGATTCTCATATTAACTGACCGGCACTATGTTGTACGTGTGAGTGCTGATAAGCTATATTCCTGAAGCCGGTAAGGAGGCGAGAATAAGCGTTGCCTTGGTGGTGTAAGGGATAAAGAGTACGGTGCCGGGAGATCATAAGTACGGGTTTCGAGTTATGTCCTAGGCCGAAGTTTTGCCCACAAATCTCCATCTTTGCTAGGCTATTCTTCTCGTGTTGTTGGAAATTGGAACTAGACATGCACAGAATCGCTTAGAAATGGAACAAGGTCAAATACCTGACACAAGCTCTAACAATGGTCTCTAGCAACGTAGTTGGCAGATTCGAACTAGTAAAGAAGTATGTGTCGAATATGGGCAGATGGATCAATCAATATGCTGTTAAGTAGACGAGAAGTAGGGAGCCGGGTGGGATATGCTCATTCAAGTAGGTATACCTAATTCATTGGAAACCTCCAGGATATTCCAAAACTTGGACTATGGTCAAATTTCCGGCATTTTTTTCCGAACGACACATTAATTTGCTACAAATAGAAATAAAAAAATATGACCAAAGCTAAAACTGTAGGTTAAAATTGAAGTGATTGTCAATGCCGAAAATCTCGCATATTTCCCTGAAGAAGAATTGACAAGCGAGCCAGAAACCACCGTAACGGGAAAATAGATGCGTTCAACTCAGAGATGACGTGGAAAGGGCAAATCATGTGAAGATTGTGTTGCAACCTCTCTGAAAATTTAATCGACGAACAAAGAGAAGATGACTCGGCCTATCCTCGTCCTTTGACGTTCGGGCTTGACTCAAGTACAAGTCCTCCTTAGAGATAAAGGTAGGCATATGATACAGTAACAAGTGACGCTGCCTCCCACTTTTGAAGTGGGTTCAAATCGTACTCTAGTACGAGAAATTACCTACCAAGTCCCCATATGCTTGGGGATTAACTTTTGTCGTACCAGACTTGCTTCTATGGAATGTACGCATTCAATCGCTACTGTGATTCAGAAATTCAGAAAGCAAGCATCTTCTCCAGATGGATCACCTCAGTACGGGAGTGGACCAACGTCTACCTTCTTGGTTACTATGATTAGAATTAACCGGTTTAGACTACTTCGAATTCTCGTTCTTCTCTGACTAGTCAGCATCGTAAACGTTAAAGAGATTGAATTCGGGAAAAGACAAACCTAAAGGGCTGAAGGCTCGGCTGCTGATCGGAATCAACAAATTGGAGATATACTGGAGCTGCTTTCGGGTCTATTGAAGGCTGTACTCAATTTGTACCGCGAATTTGAGTTGAGAAGGCTGCAACCACGGAAGGTTCGCTCGTCTTTTTGCCTGAATTCGATACTAAGAGTATCTATTCATCGACATTCACTTAACTCTACTTGGCAGACAGTCCAACACAAGTGATCAAAATAAATTACCATTCACTTCAGCCTTGACTGGTCGCCTTCATACAGCACATACTTCAGAGTCGTACAGTTGTTACATGGTTTACAAGTATTATGAGACTTGTTGAACCTTCTCGTTCCCAAGAGATGAGGGGAAATTTGAGCGCAGTTATCCTTAACCTCATATATGAAAACCGAAAGAGTCTTTCCTGAGTTCACAGTCTGAGGATGAATAACCGAGATGTTTCGTTAGCTTTATTCACAGCACATTCGTACGGAACAACCAAAAATACCTTAAATCACTCTATACACCAGGGCGATGCTAACATAGCATGGCTACCCATAGAACTATGTACAAACGAACACTAAAACAGAATTAGATCATCGTATTTAAGACTGTTGTCTAGCCTTGCGCTTCAGAGCTTCTGCTCCTTCTTCAACCTTCTCTCTGGCTTGTTCCTTGCCCCTTCCGGCACTGTCTTTAAGAGATTCGGCTCCGTCGTGAATCGACTGGCTGGCTCTGTCCTTCAGTTCTCCAGCCTTTAAAATAAAAAGATCATGATTTAGGTGACTGTACGGCTAGAAGAATTTCTTAGCCTTGCTCACTTTATCGCTAACTCTTTCAGCGGCGTTCTTCACGGCTTGTCCGGCTTCGTGAAGCTTTTCCTTAACGGTGTGCGCCATCTCCTTGGTCTTGTTGCTGGCATTTTCCGCAAAGGTGCTTTGAAGTCGGGCACCTTGACATAGAGCCACAGTCTGTGGGTAAGTCCTTTGAGCCAGAATTCTCAGGTTATTGCTCATTTTGTAGCGTTGAACGATTAGTTGATTCTGCAATGGAAGACAGCTAGACAAGTGTAGAAATGATCATAACGTGGATCTTTGGGATGTTTCTCATTAGAGGAAAGAAATGGTGAACCTAAAACTACTCATGGATGTGCTAAAAATGATTTTTCTCGAAGGAAGGAGTAATGAGGCTATATAACAGAAGCCGAAGCTAAAAATAGCATGGAGGCAATCATGTGAAGGAGAGAACGCTGCCATTGGAGAGAGCAGCCTGGCGCTTTTATACTGCGCTAGGCTGTTTACGCGGTTTCGCCGACGACCACAGTCCTCGTGCCACGGTGATCTCTGAGACGGCCTCCCTGCTCGTGAGTTCCAGGCAACCGAACACATCTCCTGCTCCCAATGATGACGATAGGAGAGAAAATAAGTAATAGATAAGTGTTATCACGTACCTACTCAAAACTTGCGTATGTCCTAGAGTATGTAACTATTTTTTGTCACTACATCATACCGTCATGAGCAAAAAACAACGATATTGACGTGAGTAGCAGAATTCTGCTGGCGAAGAAAACAACGGCGAATCAGCGAAGTCATATGATGTGGAGCAGAAGAAAGAGAAAGAAGCAAAAAACTGTTTGACAACACCTGCTCTCTAGTTTATTTCAGACTTAGTTTCGTAGATTTGTTGAGCGTTCGGAGTATTCTAGACGGACCCGACCAGATATTCTTCTACACAGACCAGAGTTTTTCGTGAATGCGAAAAAGCCGCTGCCATGATGACCCATGGTGTGTGTTCAAACAAACCTAACAAACAGTCAAGGAAGCAACTCTACCACCATTTGTTTTTGTCAGATAACTCACAGGAACGAAGTACGCGCGAGAAACACGTCATTTAATCTAATGACCAAAAATAGATCCCGAAAATGGTTTGAAGTTTGAAACTGCGCTGTTTGGAAGTTATTTCCTTTATTCGAAACTTAACGGGTGTTGAATTCTGGTGTTAGAAGGGTTTGCGTAGAGGAAATCTTTTTCCTTGACTGTTTAGAAACTCGATTCCCAGGTCGCCCAAGACTATGATTGATGTAAGCCCATGCCTCGCGGTGTCACCTTACTAGAAACTTTCCTGAAAGTCATCGATTCACAATAATTTTCTCGGTGATTGTAA